CACCTCGTGGAGTATTTCAGCCCAAAGGTGCCTCCCATCAACTCGCTTGATGATGCAAGGAAGAGGGAGCTGCTCGCATTCGTGATGGCTCTCAAGCAATGGCGGCACTTCCTCCTTGGGCATCATAGGTTCACATGGGTCACTAACAACAAACCGTTGACCTACTACAAGACGCAGGATACGGTGAGCAGCACGATCAGAAGATGGATGTACTTCATCGACCAATTTGACTTCACACCAAAACATCTCACCGGCCTCTCCAATCGCGCAGCAGATGCACTCTCACGAACATCCGATCTTTGCGCTATGACACATCATGACTTCACGTTCGACGAGGGACTTCAGTGGCATTTCATTCGGGGCTACCAGTCGGATCCAAATTTCGCCACGCTATATGTGCACCTATCTTCAGATCACTCGTCGACCAGCCATTATCGCATCGCCGACGGATACTTGCTTCTCCACTCGCGAGGCAAGGACTTAATTGTGTGTCCCACGACACCGTCGTCTTCGGACTCGCCTTCTCGGCGAGTACCACGACTCGCGACTCGCTGGACATCGGAGTCAACCGAACGATCGCAAGACTTCAACAACGATTCCGGTGGCCCGACCTCATTACCGACATCACTTAGTATTGCGACTCTTACAAAGTTTGTCGATGAAGAAAGCCCCACAATCACAACCCCTATGGCGAATTGCGCCCGTTACCCATCCCGCGGGAACCCGGCCTCTCCATTGCCATGGACATCACCGGCCCGTTCCCTTGCGACCGCTTCGAGCACGATGGCATCCTCAAGGTCGTTGACCGATTGAGTAAATACGCGCGATTTCTCCCTTGCAAGTGCTACACCATGGCTCTTGAACTTGCGCGCCTCTTGCACACCGGCTGGATTTGCAGCCACGGCGTCCCGGAAGACATTGTTAGCGACCGCGGCACTTGTTTCATGTTGGCGTTTTGGACTTCTTTCATGCAGGAATCCGACACCAAGATGAAACCAAGTTCGGCTCGGCATCCACAAACGGACGGGCAAACGGAGCGGGCACATCAAACCGCTCAAATGATGCTTTGTACGCTCATCCGTCCGGATTAGAAGGATTGGGTTGACCGCCTCCCCGACATCGAGTTCGCCTTCATCCGGCGATCGGTGTGACTCCATTCGAGTTGCACCACGGTGGCCGGAAAGGCCGTATCTTCGCTGATCTTCTCCTTCCACAATCAGCCGACATAGACGCTGCTTGCTCTCCCGCTTCCGTTCGGAAGTATAGGGAATTGTTGGCTGAAGCCCGTGTGAACATGCAAAAGGCTGAAGTTCGCATGCAGCAGCAAGCCAACAAGCTTCGCGTGCCATGTCCCATTCACGTCGGCGATCTGGTTTGCATCTTCGCGGAAGAATTTGCACTCGAACAGGATGTTTCACGCAAACTACTCCGCAAGTGGTTTGCACCATGGCCCGTAACATCAGCCACGGGCGATGAGCCCGATGGTCCCTCGTTTGATGTGCCTGATGAACATCCCCCCACATCTGACGGTCCATCCAGCCTTTCACGCCTCGAAGCTTGCGACATACACACCAGCTAAGAGCGAGGACTTCCCGGACCGATGATGGCAAGGCCCTCCATCTATGGATGGTCATCAGGAAGTCGACCGCGTCATCTCGAATCACAAGTACAATAGCAAGCCTCGACAGTACAATGTCACCGTCAAAGCATGCGATCCCGAGACACTCGATGGATTTCAGGAGCAGATTTGAAAGCATCCGCACACTGATCCACACTCATTACGAATGACAAAGGTTAGCTAAGGAAGTTTCACGACCTGCCCCTCCCACCCGGACTTTGGTCCCTCCCTCAGACAGGCAGCTTCGCCCTCGCAGGTAAGCTCAATCTTTCAAGGAGTGGGGTGTGTGGCATACTGCACAGCCACATGGGCCTGCAAAGCCTGACCAGACGGAAAATAAGGGCCTACAGGCCCTGTGTCGTTTCAGCCTAAAAGTCTGAAAATGAGGGCCATTCTCAGGCCCTCATAAAGTCGACCTGCCCTGAAACTCAGGCGCCAGACCAATGTTCAGCACAGGCCATTTTGGGCTTGTTTCAAGACAACCTTTGTTTGAACTTCAACGCCAGGGTCTGGCACGTTTCGGCATTGGCAAGAGCAGCCTCCCGGACGGGCCAGCACTATATAGAACTGGCCCGCCCTGCAGGCTTCTGGTAGCTCATAGGGACTTCCATGCAGTTCACGGGCACTTCACGTGCAGAAGGCAGGAGGCAGTTTTCAGGATTCGGCGGCAGCACTCTGGAGGAGCGCTGCAGTAGGAGTAGTAGCGTTAGGAGTAGCCTGCAGCGCTGGGCGCTATTAGGAGCTAGAGTAGCGTTGGAGAGAGCGAGAGGGTTGGTGGAGGCCAGGGAGACTTACCTGTAGCTCCAACTTCGTCTTCGATGTACCTGCAACAAGGCGCCACCTTCACAGGTTAGTACCGGAGAGAGAGAGAGAGAGAGAGAGAGAGAGAGAGAGAGAGAGAGAGAGAGAGTTCTTCTTCTTCCTCTTCTAACTCCACAGGTTGTACTATGTGAGAGAGGTCGGTTCTTGTTTTGGTCTGCACTTTTAATGTGTGCGACAGTGACCTGTGACTGAAACTCTTAATTCCTTGTATGATAATTTGTTGGAACTCTAAAGCTGCGCTTACTGGGTCTTCGTTTCTCTGGCCTCCGTGTGAACTTCGTGTGAGCTCATTCGTGCATGGTGTGTGATTGTGTGCACTCATTGGTGGTGAGATGAGAGGTTCATTGCAGGAACACACTGGCATGGCTTGTTTCTGGAATAATGTTCACTCATCTTGCATAGTGAACTCATGCTAGTCGTTTTTCGACTTGATTTCTGGGCAATTACAATTAGGTATATTGAGGGTTCGCATATTTTACCAGCGCACTCTGCAGGGATTCTGGTGGGCATCTCCGTTTTCTTTTTCTTTCTTTTTGGAAAATTGGACTACTGTGGACCGTCCGACGTAAATGCTTAGTGACCAGGGCCTAAATCCAGATCTATGTTGTGTTTCCGTTGTATTTGTATGGCAGACGAGGGACGAAGACAAGATGCGAAGGGGAGGAGAGGGGGGAGGAAAGGGAAAATGCCTTGAACACAGGCATTTACAATTTGTGATCAACTATGTCGCAAACATTGTGTGGCTGCGAAAACTATGTTGCAAGGGACCTGACTGTCCACAACTTGCCAGTTGCATGCCAAGATATCATTCACACAGAGTATGAAGCTTCACACAAAACAAAGTCGAGATGGGATGAGAACCAAGTGCAAGGAAAATGAGCAATAGCGAACTTCAGCAATCAAACAGCATCATACATATGAGTCCGGATAGTCTTGACCTCGAACCAACAACAGAATTGCATCACGAGATTCACCAAATGAGAACACACCAAGAGTTCATAATTGGCAATGCAGAAATAGTCCCATCATCATCAACGAAGAGCCAGAGTTGATATCCTATCTGGCGCTCGGCGCCCAGATTACATGTGGCAGATCCTATCTAGCCTATGCTACGAAGCCGAAAGATGACATCAACAACATTCCCGAAGTACAAGCATATGGCGACCAATGTCGCACGCCTCCAGCACCAGGTATGTCTCGCGCTACACTCACAACCTCGTTCTCCAACTCATAGATGCCACTAGCACCCAAGGACCACCCTGCGCCTCACCCAGCTTACAGCAGCGCAACTCGGCTATGGCTGCGTGCTCCTTCCCTGCTCGCCCGTGAAAGCGTAGGCGCCAGCCAGCAAATAGCGCAGCAGCAGCGCTTGCGCAGCATGCAGCCAGCACCCAAATGCCGAATGAGGAGGCAGGCCCTTCCCTATATCGAGGTGGCCTGCCTGCGTCCAGTCCTAGGGAGCTTCCAGTAGGCCCCAGTAGCCTGAGGCCCAGCACGTCGAAAGCAGGCGTTGGGCCTGAGGTGGTTGTCTGTGCCCAACTGCCTTTGGCCAGTGTTTGGCCCGGTACTCGTATTCAGCCCAGGACCTGCTTCACATTCATTCACACAGGCGGCCCAGGGCCTGGATTCACTCAACCAACTGGCGCTGCGCAACTGCCTGAATTTTCCTGAGTTGCGTGGTGGCCAGAAAAGGGGCCCTGAGGCCCTCGTCGAGCCTGCCTTCACTTAGGGCGGCCGACGGGCTGCAAAATTGGGGCCTTATGAGGCTCTTAGAGGCAGTGGCCTCGCATTCCCTCCTTAGCTTCAACAGTCCTCTGAGAAGCTCAATCTTCGACCATAGGGCGCTTTTCCTTCTGCAGAGATATCTCATATTGAGTTACAACTTGAGGAGCGGTCTACATGAGCTCTTCCCTGGTGAACCAGCAGTCCTCCTTCGGATCAGTGTGATGCCGGAACCGAACGTGGTACTGCAGCTTCGGTTTTGGAGGACGTCCCCTGCCTGCTGGTCTTGATACCGGCAGCTCTCTGTGATCCTCAATATCATCAATGTCCGCCTCTCCGTCCATGGTTGGGGGCAGCATTGAGCGACGAGATGGAAACTGGTCAGTCTCTTTGAAAGGTGCCAGCTTGGAGGCGTGAAAAACAGGGTAAGTGTGGAGATGACCAGGAATCCGGATAACGTAAGATGGCCCATCCGGATCTGTCCCGACGATGTCCAAGACTTCCCAAGGTCCAAAGCACTGAGGTATGAGTTTGCGGGAGATCTCGTACTCCTGTCCCAGTTCTGAAGACTTAACCCAGACCCTATCCCCAACCTGAAATGTAGAAGGCCGGCGGTGTCGGTTTTCGGACTCTATCATCGCCGCCTGTGCCTTCTGCATCTGTTCTACTGCCTGCTGCATTTTCTGTTCATATCTGTAGGCAAACTCTGAAGTACCCGGTGCAGCAGTTGATTCATTCTCTGGAAGGAGAAAGTCAAGGGGTAGTCTAGGCTTGAAAGTCTGTAGTAAACTGTTCGGGCTCACCCCAGTGGCACTGTGTACCGCATTGTTATACAAACTGGCGATGACAGCAAGCTTCTCATCCCAGTCCACCTGGTTGGGCTTGATGTAATGCCTCAACAGGTGTTGTACGACGCGGTTCAGTTGCTCGGCCTGGCCGTTGGCCTCTGGGTGATTCCCAGAAGTCATTTGCAATTAAGTGCCCTGCTCTTCAGCAGCRGCCTTCCACAACTCGCTGGTAAACCTGACATCCTTGTCATTGACAATAGACTTGGGTAAACCAAAGTCTCTAACCTAGTTTTCTTTGAACATTCGGATCACGGACTCTGTCTTTGCTGTTTCCGGCATGGCTACTAACCTAGCAGACTTACTAAATCTATCCACGATGACGAAGATGTGACGCATCCCACTCTTGCTGGTGATCAGAGTATCCATGAAATCCATGGACAGACTCTCACCAAGCCGTTCTGGAATCGGAAGGGGCTTCAAAAGCCCAAGAGGAGCCTGAGTACATGGCTTGTCTCGTTGACACACTTGACAAGTCTCCACATACAGCTGAGCATCTCGCATCATCGTGGGCCACCAGAACCGCTGCAGCAAGTTGGCTGCGGTCTTCTTATACCCAAAATGGCCGGTGGCATCATGGCATTCTCCTAAAAATAAACTACGCAAAGACTCCCTATTTGGGACGCACAACCGTTTATTCCCGGCCTTCTCAAGAAACAGCAAACCGTTGACCAACTCAAACTCGGCGGAGGTCTTTTTGTCCTTCGCCTCGAGTCTGCGTATGGTCTCCGACATGAACTGATCCTCGCGATAGGCATCCACCAAAGAGCGAGTTACATCGTCCGTGAGGTTGAACTCAGTAATCAGCGCACCTGAAAAGTCAGGTCTACACGACAAGGCATCAACGACTTTGTTGTACTCCCCTTTGAGATACTGGGGGTCGAAGTCGTACTGCTCAATGACTTCGATCCAACGCTTCAGAGCGTCAGAAAGTACGGGCCGAGTCCTCATCCATCTCAGGGTCTGATGATCAGTCCTGAAGATGAAGAATCTCCCAAGGAGATAGTGTCTCCAATGGGTCAGAGCCTTGTACACAGCGTAGAGGTCCTTCTCATAGGTGGAGTTGGCCAACTTATGAGACGACATCTTTTTTGACATGTACTCGACTGGCCTCAACTTTGGCCATTCCTGCAGCGCGAGCACGACGCCAATGCCATATTGGCTGGCATCCGTGGTGACTATGAACGGCTTGTCAGGATCAGGAAGTTTCAAGACCTCGTATTGCGTCAACGCATGCTTCAGATGTCTGAAATCACCTCGCACTCGTCTGTCCACTCCCATGGGGTGTCAAGGCGGCTCAGATCAGTCAAAGGAGCGGCCACTATGCTATAATTCTTAACGAAAGTCCTATAGTAGCCTGTCATTCCTAAGAAAGATCTCATCTCAGTCACAGACTGAGGACATGGCCGATCGCGAATGCTGGCCACCTTCGCGTCATCGGGCTTCAACCCTTCCGCGGAGATCTCATGACCCAAGTACAAGACACGGGTGCGGCCAAACTCGCACTTCTCACCGTTGATCTTGAACTTGTGCTGTCGCAGGAGACTAAGGACTTTGTCCAAATGTGCAACGTGTTCCTCGACAGTCTTACTAAAAATAAGTATGTCATCGAGGTACACGATGACAAACTCATCCAAGTACTCATGGAATATCCGATTTATAGCGTGCTGAAAGGTGCCAGGAGCATTGCAAAGACCGAAAGGCATCACCACAAACTCGTACAGACCGTACCTGGTCTGAAAGGCGGTTTTGTGTTGATCCTCGGGCCGGATTGCAATCTGATGGTACCCGGACTTCAGATTTATCTTACTGAAGTACCGACACCCTTCCATCCTACCTAACAGATCAGCGATGCGCGGTAGGGGCTCTCGGTTCTTTACAATGATGGCATTGAGGCTCCTATAGTCAATGCACATCCTAAGTGTACCCTCCTTCTTAGGTACGAGTAGTACTGCAGACCCATAAGGAGAGACACTCGGTCGGATCCAACCAGGGTTGTCGACCCCCGGCCCCGGGACCCCGCCGGGGTTCCGGGGTTCCGGGGGTCGGCACCCGGGACCCCGGCCCCCTGTATGGG